GGGTAATTCAGCACTGAATTACCGCGATCGCCGATTCATGCAGGGATCGCGCCTTGCATGCAGACAGATATGGGTGCACAGACTCATGATTCGCTGCATGGACAGACACTGTCCCAAGTATTGATTCGTTGGCTGATGTCCCGAGATCTGCACCTAGAGAGGCCCAAACGGAGCCAGATCACCACTATCCCATAAATTCCCCGACAAACTCTCCAGCGTCTCGAAATCAGGCATCCAAAATGGACTGTCTTCTTCCAGATCGATCCAGGGTGCGATCTGCAATGCCATGCGCACGCCATGGTCCTGGCTGCTAGTGGGTTCGGAAGAAGCCTGGGCGGCGGTGTTGGCTGCCGTTGCGTTGTTCACATCTGGTGCCATGCCGCCGGTGGGGTTGTTGCTATTGCTGCATGTGGTGATGAGGTTGTGATGATCCCTGAACATTCCTGCATTGATGCCACCGCTGCTGCTGTGTTGGGCTGTCATCAGTTCCGCCATACCCACCTTTTTGGATGCATCGCTTCCTTCTAGCTTCTCCATTGCGGCGTTGACGAGCAGCTCGAATGCGTCGCGGTATTTCTTGACCCATTCAGCGCGCTCACCCATCACGAACAGGACGGTCGAGCAGGCGCGAATATCGTTACTCATCTGGACGGACCAGACGTCGCTTGTGTGGGTCCATAGGGCGTAGAGCAGGGTGATACCAGCCATAAAGATGGTCTGGACGGCCAGGAAGGAGTGCCCGTATTCGAGGGTTTGGTGTAGCTTCTTGTGGGTTTGGCAGGTGTTTCCGGCTGCGCGGAGACAGATGTGGTAGTATGGGTCAGAAAGAGGAAGTGAGGGTAGGAATGGCTGGATGAGGAGTCGTAGGGCTCGGTGGTAGTGCAGCATTGGATAGTCTAGGTCGGATCCGGTGAAACGTCGCAGGGCTGACTCTTTCCATTCTTCGAGCTGGAGAAAGAGTCGGTCCATCTTCGAGCGTAAAGTGTGCAGTGGTCGGTCAGCTCGGTAGATCTTGTGCTGAATTTCGGAGTCAATGCGCCGCAGGCGCATAAGGAATATGGCAAATGTCAGGGTCGTGATTCTGGTCGGAGCTGGAGGGGCGGCTAGCAAGGCCGGATCGCGGACATCGTCGTCAATGTCTGCAGGCAAAGGAAGGTCGATGTGTCTGTCTGCGATGCTGAATGGTCGGCCCAGGGACATAGACACGACACGTTCTAGGTAATATACAGTCCAGAAGAGACGCCGCCGCATTTGCGCAGTGAAGGGATCCATGTTGATCTCGTTTGCTTTGCGATGCAGTCCAAGGTCTATGGCGGTACGCATGGCGAGGCCTACCATGTACCACATACCCTGACCAGACGCGGAACGAAGGTGATACACTATCAGTAGAGCCATAGCCTCAATATTCTCTATGGATCGCAATTCGCACATATTTGGTAGTTGTTGCAAAGCGGTCATGTAAAATCGCTGGCGAGGTGGTTAGAACAAATAACTTCCGCACCATAAGAGCCACATACCTCAGGAGTGGTATACGAGTAAGTTTCACTTAACTGAATCGATGTAGCTCCGATGGCATATACAAGATACAGCTTGAATATGCCTACCCGTTCCTCCTTGGTCAGCTCTTCTCGTTTCTTCTGCGCCAGCCGCCAGCGCGCCTCATGCAGTCGCCACAACTCCGTGCGGTCGAGAAACGGATAGCGAACATGGATCCGGGTGAGATAGGCATGAAGAATCCTGGATCCCATTTCATCGTTAGGAGGCTCGCTGCTTTTCACCAACACCTCCTCTACTCGTGGCGGTCGAGTTCGATCATGGACCTGACCAGCCCTCTCACCTTGAGGCTGAGGGGGAAGACCCGTAGATCCTTGTCCCGCTGCAGGTCCAAATCTACTTGATGATGCTGCTCGAGCTGAAGATAGAGCCTGGTTCCATATTGTGGCTTGGACCATCTCCCCAAGATTCGTAGCTAAGGAGAGGCCCGAACTGGAACCTACGTATGCAGGCGCCTCCGAAGAGTTGAGTGCAAGGAATCCCACCAATTCTCCGACGGCATTTTGATCCAGGCCAGGGGTCGGGTTACTGGGAGTCTCCGGATGCGGAGGAGACAGGAGTGCAGCAACTGGATGGGCGACATGGCTGCTGGCCCGGCTACTCATCGGTTTCGATTCTAACTGGGACTCAAGGTAGGCGATGCGATCCTGCAACGCACGGGTATATCTACAATTGTCAGTACTCCACAAGGATTATGTTTCGGGTCAGCTGGGAAAGGGGGATCCCACTCGTTTTGAGTGCCATTCTCCTGTCGTACGGTGGCTTTGTCACATATCGCCCCGGCCTTTTGGCAGTTGGAGCACACGGGGTAGTCATTGTCACACTAAGACTCGACCATTAGCATTGACTGATGCCCCGGAGTAACATGCTGGAGGCAACTACAACCCGGACTGATCTCCAAGGATAGGTGGATCCGTCTACTGACTTTCTGCTTTCTAGTCTTACAGCGCGTGCATGCCGTTCTGCCGCGCTTCCGGGGATTGTAGTCCCGCGAAGGTGAAGAAGAGGTTCTGGTGGGGGTCGAAGTGCTCGCAATATCCATACTAGTTTATCTCATATTGTCCCTGATACAGAAGAAGGGGAAGAAGAGAAGTCAAACTCGCTCGACAATCGCAAATGTAGAAGAGCAGAAGATGAGTCAGGAATAAATGGAGGAAGAAGTTGGGAAGCTGCTCGTCCCCGCCAAGACATCTCGGCTCGACCCGCCAGTTAGCGCCTGGAGCCATTAATTAAATTTAGTACGAGAAAGATAAGCACCTCAGGTGGGTTCTTCTATATGGATTACTCGTTGGTATTTGCACTATCATGTCTATTTCCATAATATTAAAGAGATATCCAAGAAGAGTATGTCATATACCAATGGATGCGTATCGCCGCAGTGGACTTTTTGTATCGCTGAAACGCCATCTATGCCGAACTTGTATCATAAGTAGATTCATTGCATCTCATAACCACCTTACGGCTCTGGTTCCGCTTTCTTCTCGGAGTGAGACGCACTCTCCATCTCACCACTGGCCTGGGATTCAGGAACCTGCTCCGGTTGGGCTTCAGTATCCCCGGCTGCAACCTGCTTCTCGGCCTGTTCCTGGGCCTGCTCTTGCCGCCGCTTCTCTTCCTCTTGCCTCTTCTCTTCTTCTATTTCATATTGGTCCTTGGGCCTCTCCAGTCCCCGGTCGCGAATAAAGACACATGCGAGGAGACATACTCCCATCAGCGGGACTTGGAAGATGAACACGGAGTGAGAAGCCTTGGCATATGCGTCAAGGATCTGCTCCCAATCTGCATCGGGAATACCGGCCCTCGACGGGAGCGAATAGGATGAATCAGCAATATCCCTATATCCCACAGGCAGATTGGATCGCAAGGTTGCCTGCAAGATCGCAGCTGAGATAGCCAGACCACATGCACCACCTAGGCAGCGGAAGAAATTCCGGTCCGAGATTACGACAGCTCTCTGGGCCTTCGTACAATGCGCCTGAAAAGCGACCATGGTCGGTTGGAAGACACCTCCAACGCCTATGCCAGCGATGCCAACGATAACAGCAATAGCTCCCGGGCTGGTGTGGCGGTCAAACAACAGCATCAGGCCGGCGCCACTAAATATAATGTCAGATTACAATTATCTTAACGATAGGCAAGACACCGGCCGGGTCACTTACAGTGTCCAGAAGAAAAACCCAGCCCAGATCACCTCTCCGTAACGCTTGCGCCGGGAAATGTACTGGCCGGACAAGACAGAGGCCACTGATTGACAGGCGACCATTGGGGCCGTTAGTGCAGCAGAAACAATCGGGGACCAGTCCCGGGCGTTCTGATAATACAACGGCAGGTAGTAGAGAGACGACTGGTACACAGCTCCAAAAAGGAAACTCTGCAAGAACAAGGTACAGACCACTCTGTTCTTGAAAAACACCACTGTTCAAGGATTAGCAGCCGGTCTTGAAATATTGAGGTTCAATTGGTGTGACATACTTGGAAGCATAGGCAACACAGCGACTTTCCATTCAATTAGGAGAAACGCAATCAAAGCGCAGCCCGCAATGGTGAGCATGCTAATCACCATCGCCGAATCCCAGTTGAAGTAAGAGCCGCCTCCCGAGATAGGGATCAACAAGAATATTATTCCAATGGACGAAGACAAGATACCATAAAAGTCAATCTTGCGGGCATTTTTGCGGAGGCTGTCCTTCCGCGCATTATTGGGAATAAGGAAATAGCCCACAACAATAGAGCATGCAGAGAGCGGAGAGATGAGCCAGAAGAAACCTCGCCATGTCGAATCCATGACGAATGCTGCGGCAATGAACGGCCCGATAACGTTGCCCATCCCCAGAGCCGCACCCAAGATTCCCTGGTATTTTCCCCGGTCTCTGAGGGTGACAATATCAGACACAATGATCATCGTTAGGGAGGTGACACCGCCGCCAGCTACACCAGCCAATCCTCGAAAGACATAGAACATTGCAGCATTCTGAGATAGACCACACAGTAGATCGGCAATGCAAAGGAGTGCCAAGGCACATAAGTAGACTATCTTTCGGCCGAAGATATCAGACAACCGACCATAAAGCACCGTAAACATGGTATTCGCAATAAGGGACGATGTGCCTGCCCATGAGATGGTATCCTGGGCGTTGAGATCTCGGGCGATTGTGGGAAGAGTAACGCTGATACCATTTTGATCAACGAAGGTGATAAGCAGAGAAACTGCGAGCCCCGTGAAGACAACCAGCAATTGCCCGATAGGCAAGATGTTAGTCTGGTCGTGCAAGGCTTTTTCCGCAGCCTGTTGTCGATTCATTCTGTTCTGTCTAGGCCAATATAGGATTTATGAAGGCGGGAATTCCGAGCATGGTATTATAGATAAGACGGATGGAAGAATGTAAAAATTGGACCAATATTGACCAGATTAAATATCTCTCAGCAACTGAGTCTTGTCGACAGGGTGTGCGTACGGCTTCAGGCCATAGACACAAAACAGATATATATGCAACAACTGATAAGAACAGCACGGCACAATATATGGGACGAGAAGTGTTGGTTAATCAATGGTTGGCCGCAAGCGTCGTCCGAGTCTTTAACCTGTCAATTTCATAGGGGATCATCGGAGGCACCGCCGAGCACCGTCGACCGAGACCCAGCATTCTTGCCATATGGCCCACTCCACAGGGATAAGATCCCACGTTTCTCATTGGTTCCTTTATCAACCAAGCCGTGGCAGCGGCTTCTTTCCGCGTCGGGTTTGCCAGTCAGTTGGCGACGGCCGTAGAAAAAGTGGATCTCCCCTGTCGGAGGTTGGCAACCGGCTAATCGGACATCCGAAAAAAATATGTTGGTCGGCCCAATTGCCCGCACCCGCGATAACATCATAGATAACTCCTTCCTGCAGCTGGTCCAAAGAGGCCCATCCAGATCCTGATCCTGTCTCATCGGCCTGATTTTCAACATGACTCACATTGAAAGAGACCGCCAAGGTTCAATCCCGTAAATTTATTTCCTAACCCCTGCAAGCTGCGGCCGACCCAGACTCAGTCGGTATTGAGCATCGACGTAGAGAATCCATTTGCCGTATTTGTAACTAGGCCAGCTAATCGCTTGGATGATGAAGATGAGGCCGGCAGGTAGTATTCGGGGTTGCAGTTAAATCCATCATGGTAAAGAAAACGGCATACACTGTCGATGATGAACACCCTGGGTCCGTACATGATCGTCAATTGAACAGGAATTGTCTCCGAAGGGAGGGCAGTGACAAGTATCAACCTGCGAGGCATATTGTGCCGCACTATAGCGTCTGAGCTCACTCTACATCGTACATATGTCCTTGAGAGACAGCGTTGCAGCGGCGATTTGCAGGGGTGTATGCCAGTCACCCAATCGGATGTGCAGCAACATACCGCAAGGTTGCAGACGTGGCCGCGATTCGTCACGAGCCGTAAGGTTAACGCAGATCGGAGAGACGTATCTAACGCTCTTTTAATCGGGGCAAAAGGGAAAGGGAGCTTTGATCGCCCCAACTCTACACAGAGTTATGGATGCGCATGTGTAAGTGGAACTTCCATAGTTCTTGCTGTCCAAGGCTGCTGTACGCCACGTGTGCTTGCCACAGAGGTACCTTCAAACGCTGGACCGCCTCCGGCGCGGCTACTACCATCACTGTTTTGAATCGATTGTATCGAAGGGCCCGCACTGGCTGAAGTTGCGCCCTGACTAGGAACAGTATGCTGGGGGGCATAATGCCCACCAGTGACGTTGCCGTGATTAGGAAAGAAGCTCTGGTTTGGTGCACCACATGTAGCGCAAGTAAACTCGATTTTGAAGTTGGTCAGAACGAATGGTGGGCTGGTAAGCTGCCCATCATTTGGTCGCGGTTGAGTGGGATTCTTGGGGCGCCCAGCGTCCGAAGGGGGCGCTGTATCAGGAGCAGGGACTGAATAAGGAGACTGCTGGGAACTTGCAGGGTGGTGCAGGCTATGACCTAGGGGTGTCTGTTCTGGTGACAGGACTTCAGCCGGCGGCGCTTGTTGTGTGGGCTGCGCCTGATGATGTACCTGAGGCGGCGGATGTACAGGTTGGCTGTGAAGTTGTGATGCCGAAATAGTTTGATCCCGGTGAACCTCATCTTGAGGTATGTTTTCCATGATGGTGGTTTGGAGGGTGTCTGTAATCCATCTTTGACTGGAGAGACTGCCGAAAGTCGAACTCTCCGCCTGATTCTCTAAAGGAGGCGGTTGGCTGTCCTGTCGGTCATCTCCACTAGAGTCATGAGTGTTGGTGCCCTCGCTCTGGTTTTGCGCTTCATGTTGCTGTAGGCGGATAAGAGCTCGTTGCGCTTGTCGCATTGAGATGTCATAGCCATGGTATCGCTTCACAGCGTCCACAACGTCTTGCGCTCTGATTTTGTTTTTCATGTCGAATAGCTTGGGAATTTCAGTTAGAAGAAACCGCACATGCGATGCCTCCGATCGAGCTGGTGTCTTCGAGGTTGAAGTGGCATTGCGACGACAACTGTGGCTGTCCTGGAGGCTGCTGATGTAAGTTGCATTCTTGTTCGCGCGGCACACAACACGAAAGTAGCAATTGTTCGAAGATCGACAGCCTATGACAACGCTTTTCTTGTTGCTTCTGGTCACTCGAAGCTCCCAGTGTTGTCTCACGGAAATACTTCGAACCAGTCCTTTGAATTCCTCCAGCGAGCTGAAACGTTGGCCCACGTGGAGCCCCGAGTACATCTCCGCCATCACGATGCAGAATAGTGTCGCGAGCGGAACATAAGCAGGTCGGTATCGACAATGGTTTCCATCAGTGAGGCGTTCTGACTCATGCGATTCTGAAGACAGCGACGAAATCCTTGGGTGATAAATTCGGCATTGTTTGGCGCGTAAATGCAAGATTTCTAATTCCCTATGACGATCCCAAGTTTGACAACCATAGCCAATCAGGGAAACATAGATAGAGCCGATCTGAACCGTGAGCCAATGGAAGTCGAGCGACCAACAGCTTCGAAGTGGGAAGCAGCTGTAGGGATGAGTGAGACCCTCCCAGGGTCCGTTGACCACCTGCCGCAGTGATTGACAAGTGAGATTGGAGAGGTGAGATGAGGAGAAGGAAGCGCAATGAATAGTAGTATCAGACCGGAAATAGGAGAGTGGACGCTGCCCGCATTAAATTGCGGGCGGGAGGAGCAGCTGAAAGGTCGGCGTCCGCCTAGCGCGGATCCCCCGACCGCTCACATCGGCCTATCCGGCCTTTTTCCCTTTGAAGGCTTGCACCATCTTCACGCGGCCACCGAGAAGAGGACGCGCGATCCATTTCGACTCCTCCCCGACGCAGATTTGCATTTCCCCTTGACAAATACCCTATTTTATTTTTACGACCATTATGACGTCTTACGGGTTATTGGATCAACCAGATGAAGGTCGAGTGGTTCTAGAAACACGCCCCGTTCCTTACACCGTGCTAATGTAATGCCCTTCCAGATGGTCTCCACAAGTCGCGCCTCTTGAACGTCGAAGAAAAGCCTTTCAAGCGGATTTCAAAACGCCTCCTCAACAATGACTCCATTGTAGTGTCCAACGCAACGCTTCCTCCCACTCCTCCACCAGATGGTGCAGACGACGATGCGACAGCAGCTGCAGAGGCGGAGAAACAGAAACGGCTCGAGGAATGGCGCCATTTCCGTGAAGATGTTGCTTTGGATTTTGCCGCCTTCGAAGGCAGCATCGCGCGCATCCAGTTTCTCTTAACAAGTAACGAGAAGGAGCGCGAGCGCTATGCGACCGAGAAGCTTCGAATCCTCGATACAATGCAATCGGTGCGTGACAATACAGCAGAGCTGCGGGTTCAGCTCGAGGAGGCCCAGCGTCTACTAGCACTGCGCAAAAGCTACGATGAATTGGCAGAGAAGATTACCAGCAACCGACTCTTGAAACCGCGCGAAGATCAACAAGCCAATTTGCAAAAGCTACAAGCTGAAATTACTGAGCTGGAGAAAGAGAGCAAAGACTACGCACACACCTGGTCGGAACGGCGAGAACAGTTCGGTCGCATTGTTGAAGAAGGGATGCAACTCCGTCGGCTCATCCGTGACGAGAAGGAGGAGGTCGAGCGCAGAGAAGGCATGCAGGAGGAAGAAGATGGAGATGACGGGGATGTTCCCTCCAAGGGGAAATCCAGTGGAGCTAATACCCCTCGTCACGAGTCAGACAGTCTGACTCCTTCTCAACATGGCCATGATGATCTTGGGCGATCACCAGCAGGCTTGCAAGTGGAAAAGACGGGTACTGCCGGTGCGGTGTCACCCCTGCGACAAATGACTGCGGTGGACGACGAGAATAAGATTACCCCCGATCAGGACACTTCAATGGAAGATGAGGGTGAGGTCCCCGAAGAGCTAGAAGAAGGGGAGGAAGTCCAGGATGACCGTGCAGACAAAATGGACACTACTTGATTATCGGAGAGTTTTCTCTACCATACATTGAGCAAGGAGTTCGGTTGGTGGCGTTCGCATTAGGCTAACTATCACAATGCAACAATGGCTTTGCTTTTCTCAGGGGCAATTTATTGAATAATTTTTTTCGTGCTGTGGATTAAGTACATGTGCCAGTAGATGGGAAAATGAGCTATCTCAGGCGATCTCCCGCTCCGCTGTTCGGGCTTTGGCGATGGCTTCCTTCGCAGCATTAATATGCTCGACATTACTTTCGGGGCCTTTCTTTCCTTCCTCAACCTAGCAATAAATTTAGAAGCTTAGTCCTCCTGACAGCACAAGATAAATTGTACATAGTAGCATGTAGGAAATTTGTCACTCACCAGCAAACTATTGAGCTTGGCTATAGCATCCTCAATCTTCTGCTTCAATGTCGGGAGGACCTTTTTGGTTTCTTCGAGAGCCAGACGCTATCAAAACAATTGTCAGCGACCTCCTTTATGCATATCCACCATACTAGTTAGTTACTTACCTCCTGCCTCAATGTATACTCTCTGTTTTCGTCATCGCCGCCCTCCTGGGACTCCAGCTTCTTGACTCTTTCCGTCTGCTCCTGCAGCTCACGGTGGTACGAAGCCTCTTCTTTGACCAGGCGCTCGACAGATGCCGTGGCGATCTCCAATTGAGAGCGAGGAGCCATGATGATCGACACTATTGAGCCGGAATTAGAGTCTATTGCACTTCTGCGGATAATAAGCCCTAGGACAATAGCATTTCTCCGTGCTGAACACAGAAATAATGAGATTGTGGCCCGACTCTAGCTTAATGACTCGAGGCGGGAAGCTTTAGGAGCTCCGACAGGTGCCAAACGAGACGTTGCCAAAAATGGCAAACAATCGTACTTAGTAGTAGTTGAACTTACCTCGATAGGACTTTTTGACAAGGTAGGTTTTTTGGGGGGGTAAGCAAATGTCCCCAGGTTAAGTGTGGAGAATATAGCTCAGGGAGATTGAAGGTGTTCTGAACTTGCTAGAGGAGTTTACTGCGTGATGCTGCTCTTGCTCGTCTGCCCCTCCGCGATGATGCTATAGAGGAGCAGTTTGCAGTGTTTGTCCGGGTGGAGAAGGTGGGACAACACGTGACGTACAAGAGAGATGGATTGGGTAAATAAGGAAAGCAACCCAACCAGCGAGTAGATAGTTACAGCGTGCTACTTTGCGATTCATCTATCTCCGGTTTGGACCGAAGAAGCGTGGAATCTGTCATCATGCATTCTCAAGGGGTATCTCGTCTGATCAGGACTAGCAACTCAAGGGGTATTCCATTAACTATTCCGCGAACATATGATCTAGCAACCTTTCTCCAACACGTCGTGTTATCTGTCCCCAGTGGTGGCATACTGTTCATGGCAATTATGCAGTCCTCCTTGTCTTGATGGTGTGTCTGTGGCAATAAGAAGCATTCAGCAATCGCTACAATACGCGAGTCAATACATAGAATCATCCATCAATACCATCCCTTCATCTTGATGCAGGGGACTTTCTAGGGTTTCAGAAGGGTCTTAATTCAAAGGATGAGACTCTGTCTGAAGGGGCTTGCCGTTCAAATCCTTGGACTTTGGCATCTCAGCAAACCATGACGGTGGCGCTATCCCGGTCTGTTCATGGATTGTGCTCAAGATAGGAGGGAGGCCCTGCATAATATTTCGAATCGGTGCCATCGCATCTGGCGAAGCGTTCCCATGGTCTATTCCTTTGTCAGAATTCGTGATAAATTTTCAAGTAGAGGACATGCCGGCAATACTAACCCCCGGTATTCCAAGTGGTGATCTTCGGCTGGAGGCCACTGATGGCACGACCATTTGCATCGGCCAGCCTTTCATAAGTGCCAGACTCCAACATTCTGTACTGCAGGAACGCCTGAGGACCACCGAGAACATCAACAAGCGCACCATATGCCTTTGCCATCTCGAGGATTCCTTCGGCTTCTCGCTTTTGAGTGTAGAAAGCTGCATCTGCGTCTTTGCTCTGGCGATAATCTATGGAGAAGTCAGCATTAGTCTGTCGCTGAAGGTCATCGACAACTTACAGGTTGCGTCTGCTTCCATTTTGCTCTTATACAACTCTGCATCCGCCGCCTTCTGTTCCGTATAAAAGGCAGCGTCGGCCTCTTCCTGGGAAGACTCACGCTCAACCTTGCTTTTTGTGACCTGCTCGGCTCTGAGACGTTCCAACTCCGTCTCTGCGCGCTTGCTTTGCACTTGTTTCTGCAACTCAGCGTCTCTCATTTCTGTCTGACGCTGAGCTGCGATCTTCTTGAGTTGGACATCAGCATCCAGTTCCGTTTTGCGGTTCGTAAGCTCTGAGTCTGCCTTGGCCTTCTCCGCCTTGCGCTTTGTTTCTAGAACAGCAGTGTCGGCATCAATCTTGGAGATCTCCTGCTTAGTTCTGCCCTTTTTCTCTGCCTCTCCAATTTCACCTTTCATCCGTGCCTCTGCAACATCGATCTTAGCCTGGTTGAGGGCTCCCTCATGAGCCTTGCGACTCAGAAAAGCAAAATATTCGCTTCCAGGGGTATCCTGAAGCTCCTTTACGTTGGCATTGTAACTATGATTTATCAGGATTGATGATGCCTCCTCAACAGGCTTGAACTTACATCCTTAGGCCGAATTGCTGAAGTTCATTTTGAACGTTCTCGATCACTTCCTCGGATGTTAGTAAAACAGTGACTCGGCTAATCAGCATATCGCCACTCACCTTTCGTCTTGAATATCTGTCTCTCCTTGAAGATCTCCTCCATGGACATGCTAGAAACAATCACTCGTGTTTCACCTTCGATGATTCCTCGAACGATATCCTGGACATGATTCTGCTTTGCTTTGCTATTCAGGTCCCTCTTTTGGGCAGGATCAGCCTCGTCTGTACAGCCCGAAAGAAGCAGCGCATATTTCCTGAGTGCGCCCTGCTCATTGTCGGGGCCTATGGTAAACACTGCTGGCAGAGAAAACTGCAGCTTCTCGATGGTCATAGCCTGTAGGCTAAGCGAGAAATCATACGGTGCTACAGATATCCTCGAACACTATTCAAGAACATGTCAGCTATATTCTTGGCATTTCTCTGATTGAACCATACCCGCTGAAGTGGCCACACAAATGCCTTCTTGCATACTTTGATGTCGTCAATCCCGGCTCCAGTGAGCACAAGATATTCGCTCGGTCGAGATATGGCGTACCTATAGCATGAATTCATAAGAGACAAGCTTGGACTTGCATTGGCTTAGAGACTTACCACATGGCTGCGGTTTATGGAGGCTTGGATGATATTATAGATCAGTAAAAAATTGCTCTGAGCGGTACTGTCGACCTTTCTTGCTCGAACAATCTGATGAAGTGTTGTATGCTAATCCTTGAGAATATGGCAGGAAGTTGACTCATGGCTCGAGGGCGTCTTTATATACCCTTTGATCTTAACATTACGCTATTACTACAACATCTGTTCGAGGCTTTCAGGAACCGAGGACACCAGGGCGCAGTCATCCATCGCGCGTATGACTTTCATCATGAACTTTGTGTACGAGTTTACGAAGGGCAACTTCCACCCACCACGATAATCTTTATACCATCAGAGTAGGGATCAGTCTCCGGTCATCATTATAGTATGAGGCATAAAAAGCTATACAGAGCCTTGGCAGCGAGGCTATGCACTTGCCGCAACGCCCGATGGGGCGCATTACTGACCAAGCCCGCCTCACTTTTTTGTTAGGTAAACGGCAAGGCTGCGGAGATGTATTCCGGGGAGGCCCTGTTCTGCAGGCGGATAATGCCACTATAGCAAGGCTGTACGGCCTAACTTATAGATCATTGCGAGCAAATGATGACGGGCCATTCCCAAGAAGGATAACCAAGCACTGTGGAAGTCACATGGCGACTGCATGATTATACAGGGGTCAACAATAGCCACATCCAGATGTAGCAGTAATCGTCCAGCACAGCCAACATTATATGGGCCTAATAATGTGAAGATAGCTTCTATTGTAGAACTCACTCTCCATTGTCCGCAATGAGAACGAACAACATCGTCCTGGGCGGTGAGCCTCCAACAGCCGGCAGAATCCGAGCTTCCGCCTGACTTGGCCTCAATGAACCAATGAGGTCATGACGAGACAGCTGTCCGCCTTGAGCCTGACGCAGGCGCATTTACCACGTACAAAGGCTCAATGGCCTTACGTTCATCTTATCCTGATCGCCGGTGACCATCTCACATGCCTTCTTCAGATGCTTCTCACTTCTTCCTTATATCCGATACTCCTTCCATGCCACTTTTTTGGTTATTTTTTGGTGCCCATCCCGATAAACCACCATGCCGCCACCATCACTTTTGCAGCTTTGCACGGCGACTGCGATTAGGAACGTGAAACGTATGCAACGGCCAATCTCACCTTAAGAAGACCTCAACGGGGGACTAACAATCGACGCTTATGCAGAGTTAAATGACATCGGCAACATTCCCTATGTACTTGCTCGTCCATTTCTACTGAAAGTGGAGAGTCCTGAGAAACTGGTGAGTCTGTAGCGGAAATCCCCCGTCCATCGTCAGTGCCCCTTTGACTATTTGACTAACAGTCAAACTCACCCCACATTACAGAGAACTCTGGAGTTACAGTCCCCACATTTGATGCGAGATGACGAGGAACTCTGGCTAGAGTTCATCAAAAGGGATATCCCGCGATGGGACGAATACGATCTGCCTGAGAAACCCGACTGTTGGTATGACGTATATTGTGACCTCCGGGAACAAGTCCAACGGGCAGTGGAAGAGGATGCCGAAAAGCTGAAGATGGCTTTAGATGGCATCAGCTCTGAGCGTCAGGAAAAGAGTGCCAAACTCGTCACCGACCGACGAATCATCGGTCTTCCCCGAGAGAGGCCGACTGCGAGGCAACGATATGCTTCATACGATCGGAGACTGGGCGGCTCACCAACGTCCTCATCCTCCATGCCCCCCTGGGCTTTTGGTAGGCCGAGGGAGCCAAAGAAGAAGAATAGCATATTCACGGCGACGAAGAGGAATAACGTTCTTGCTGTGCCCACAAAGCACCTTAATAACAGAGCTACCCAGGTCAGACAGGCTCCGCGCTCTCTTATCGAGGACCATATACGTCCTGCTGAGCCCCCTGTCGCTCGACGCAAGGAGGCCCCAGCTCTGAGAGTGCCCGGTCGGTCACGTCCCCAGACGAGTGCACCCTCCGTGAGCCAGAATAGTCTGGAAGTTGGCCCCAGCTTGCGGGAAAGAGAAGCTCGCTTACGAGCAATAACCCAATCGCATAGCCCTGCTACAGCCAGTAGGCCTACGGCAGGGAGAAATGCACAGGTATCACAGCCAACAAGAGGCCCGTCCGGATCTCTCTCAGGGGCTGCAGCTAAGAAACAGACATCCCAACCGCTCGGTAACAGTGCGACTGGCTCTCATCAGAAGTCTGCCGTAGAGGACATGCCAGTGTCTCCGCCACAGCCACCCCGTCCGGCAGTGGTCCGCAAACGTCCTGCCCCGAACCTCTTCATCCAACCAAAGAAGAAGAAACTCAACTGATTGGACATATGCTGGTCCCAAGAAGTCAACTTGCATTATTAGATACACAAACCCACTCATAATATATAGGAATGGCGTTTAGTACTGGCGTGCGTCTGGTTCATCGTTTCAGCTGATGGCGTTTTGCAAATGATACCACAGAAGGCGTTCTTTGATCTCATATACCTGGATATCGCAGGCTCAGGTCGGATGCTATAATAGGCATTTTGCATGTTCCCCTGGGGATCTCGCAACTTATATCGGTAAACTGCTACGCAGCAATTTGTTTGGCGAATTCGATGAAGTGCAACCTTTGGTTCTCGAGCATACCATCCCTTTTCTCTATATTAATCATGTTTATACCCTCCTCTTATCACATACACAGGCTGCCCACTCAGTCTCATCTTATATAAGAAACCAATCACATATATTGTTCCGCATTCTGCCGTCTTCACAAGGAAAAACCATATAATCGTCTCCACTAACCCACCTCCATCTTCTGTAAAAAAGTATGTAAAGAACTGTCATTACTGCATTGTTGGTTTGTAGCTCATTAAAACCCCCCGCACCACCCCAGGATCGACACCTACATGCATGCTCATAGCCCCGAAACAAGAAACCAACGCTACAAAGCGTTCATAATACCGGCCCTGAAGCATCACACAGATATCTTCCTCTTTATCCCATCCCCCTTCTGTCACACCACACACATTCACAAGCATCCACCACGCAGAGCAAGAACAAGGTGTAGCGTGGCACCACCTTCCAGGTTATATTCCGAAGCAGTCTTGTCGTCGGCCCTGTAATCGCGGAAATCAGTTTATTAGCATTCGACCCATGACATAGCTATTATATATCCCCCGGGAGTAGGGATAGGGAAACACGGGTATATGCGTACATCTGCTTTCCACCGAAAATCAATCGCTGCTGAACAGGAGGAATACCCTCTTTCTCTTCGACGCGCTCCTTTATCCGGGAAACCTGCGTATTGTACTTATTAGTAATCGAATGCGCGAAGAACATATCAGTAGGGTAGGTGGCTGGCTGGTCGTGTGCAGGCGGAGCTGGTTATTGCAGCCCGGCTGGATAGGCCAGCTAGCTAGCTAACCAACCACCACGCGCGGATGGGCGAGATCGCAAGAAAAAGATATGTCTGCGAATGGGTGCGTGTATGTATGTACCTTGTAATCAGGCTCGATGTCCAACTCGATCTCCTTTCCGGTAAGGGTACGGACTCTGTTGAGGGTGACAACCGATTAGCATTTGCTATCGCGACAGAGGGGGAGGCTATCTGCGTCATGGGCGGACAAACAACTCACTTAATCAACATTTTTGAGGTAAGATAGATAGCGACTGTAAGGTATTCGTAGAGTTTAAGTTGCTATAGTAGAGGAAATAATAAGGACGAGTAACTTCAAGGAACAAGACGCTCTAATATATTAGTAGCGAAGAGAACGACGATGGTGGTGGTGGTGGAGGTTGTTGTTGACTGGGCTCAGTTGGTGACGGAAAGCTTCGGCGGGGTTTTTGGTGGGGCATCAAAATAACTACGGAGTAAGCCGCTTCATAGTAACTAACTACTACTTTGCCCCGGCCGAGATGAACGTTAGAATTTGGGTTGTATGAGTGGGTGTAGTGGTTATTGTGACTTTTTTTGATTGTATTGAGTAGTTGTGATTTTCTCTTACCTGTTAAGACGTAGATATTCTGCGCTAATTGTTCGAAATATGCTTCGGCTGCTTGTAATGGTCTCAATGTGCCCTTGACGGGACTGGGATATATATAGCACCAGCCCTTGGCGATCTGTAATCTTACTCAAACACCTCTCAAACACCACCATTCTACACATTTGCTTTGGCAACACACTACGAACAAGGGTCGCGTTGTGCAAAATGAATAATTCTGTCGAAGAAACCAATCCATTTGACGTCCTCATTGCAGAATGTCAAGATGACCCAGTATAACTCTCAATAGCTCCCCGAAGAACAGTACTCCTGACCAACCCGATCACAGAAACAAATTCAAGCTCGATATGAAGCTCACCGGTCCAACCGCAACAAGCAATACAGAGAAAAGCTCCTCAGCCCTGATTTCAAAGGCTGGCAGGTTGACGATATCCTGAAAAAGTTGCATGCAAGCGCCAACGACGAAACACTGCCTTTTGTCGATCCTCGGCATAACCTCACACTATACGCTCGACCCCCGCAGCATATCCGGGACTTGGTCGCTGAGGTCCAACAGGCCATTCGAGAAATTGCCCCAAGTTAGTTCTATGTTGCCTTTGCGGGGCACTTCCTCTACTCCGTATGCTGTATTGCCTGGTTCAACTGATCGGTCCCATTTCCCTTTTTTGCTAGGCATATGGTTCACACCCCCAGAGCAATTGCATATGACTACATTAGAGATCGCCAGCTGTCGACCTGAGCCGGAGGTTGAAGGATTGGTTTCTCATCTTCAAGGTAGTGGCGTCGTGCCGAAGCTGGTGGATTTTCTATTTCATCATCGAACACGGCTGGTCAAGCCTATGATCAGTTACGATGCAACTGCCATGGCGCTGAGTTTTGTCCCTGCTGCTGGAGAGGAGACTACAACTGCCCACGATGTGAACGGCGATGGATACACTTATCACCATCTGCGACGTGATGTTTCGAGTATTGTCACAGCGACGGGGTTACAAATGAAGCCGAGGTATATTGCACTCTCAGCACACATTACGATTGCGCGGTTCATCACCCGGGACGGATTTGTGATAGACAACCCCAATAAAGTGGAAGACGAAGCGGTGGACCATGCGCGGGTGGCCGCACTGGTAGAGAGGGTGGAGAAGATTAATGAGATGCTCCGGACGAAATACTGGTTTCAAGGAGACGGGGCCATCTCTGGGAAAGGGGAATGGCTTGTCGGACAGAAAAAGGGGTTGGAATTTTGCAAAGGAACATCCTTCTACGGTGGAGGAGAAGCCGTTGTTGTCGGCAAAGGCTTTCAGTAAAGGGTCTCTAATTAGCAACACTCCAGCATGAATAATCTAAGACAGTGGGCGAATGAATATGATTCGATAGATAACTATGGGGATGATATGGGTCATTGCCTGAGGCAGGAACTAACCACGGGCGGTCTTGGCGGGTAGCACACAAACGCGGTTAGGCCGCACCCTAAGCGAACGAAATCCCACAACACACGGCCAGCCCAACTCGATCCTCCCGACAAGAGACTATCAACGACCACCAAGTTCGCGATCCGGCCAAGTCAGTCAAAATGGTAAGGATATTGTTCTGATCGTTTATCAGTCTTATTTCCGTGTTCCTGGGCGTCGGAGAAGTGTTTTCGATCAATCGACATACTACGAGATGGGACGACATACGGCACTCTTTTTCCACGGCGAACCGAGTTGAAAAGCGGCACTATACGAAGCGCAACGATCGAAGCTGCAAACGAAAATCCTGAGCTGTCAATATAAATGCAAAATGGTTAAAGAGATGGAATTTTCGACCGGGGAAATGCCCCGCGATTAATTGAGGGATGAAGTGAGAGATGCTGAGTGCGACCGAAACCATTGAAAAATCGAATTGCTCTTGAGTGTCGACACCCTTGCTATATCAGCATCTGCTTTTTTCTCGCTTCTTCGAATCAATACCATTCCCACCGTGAAACACCATCTCCGACGACGAGGAACTCAGGAACAGACTGCGGACGTTCTATAATACCATCCTACCACAGCAGGGGCTGATCAAACTTCTCTCGCTTTCAGGTCAACGTTCCGAAAACCCGCCGGACGTACTGCAAGTCCAAGGAGTGCCACAAGCACACCCAGCACAAGGTCACCCAGTACAAGGCTGGAAAGGTGAACACTGCCCAAGCAACCGAGCCCACCGCGCGACCTATGCTGATGCAATCATGATTCTCTACAGGCCTCCCTGTTCGCCCAGGGTAAGCGTCGTTACGACCGGAAGCAGAGCGGTTATGGTGGTCAGACCAAGCCCGTCTTCCACAAGAAGGCCAAGACCACCAAGAAGATCGTTCTCCGTCTTGAGTGCACTGCTTGCAAGACCAAGAAGCAGCTTTCTCTGAAGCGCTGCAAGCACTTCGAGCTTGGGTACGTTCATATGCTCAGTATACGATCGATGGGTGATGCTAACCATATCTTTTTCTTTCTCAACAGTGGTGACAAGAAGACCAAGGGTGCTGCTCTTGTCTTCTAAATTTGCGGTTTTCTTGTTCGGCTCTGGGTTTCATGCATTGCACAGACCGCAATGCTGCGGCGGCGGCTATGACATCGGCAATGGAAGATGGAATAGGATCTCATATTCAAGAAAAAAATGAAAGAATATATGACTCCTAGTTGATGAGTCTCTTGACGAACTATTGTGCTGCATCGTGGTGTAGGGAGTGTAGAGAAGATGAATTTCCCTGAAATTAACGTGACGTAGAGCACCATAACCCGGCTGCGCCTTATCTTAATATCGTCAAGCGTCTTGCCTTACCAACAGCGTTATCATCTACTACGACTCATGTTCCCACTTCAGTGTCTGATAAGGCGCGCTAAACTACTCCGAGATTATACTACGTAGTATGTCCGGGTAGATGTTGGACGCACCAAGCGTTAGTCGCCTCGATCAAGATTAGAAAGTTATCGACTATCTACTTAGCATTCATCTTCACGGAATCTATACGGTTTCGATGCTAGGCAGAATCACCGTAGTTTCAACACCAATGTTCTAGTTCTCTATTCAGCCGATCATATCTATATAAGCATATCGAAATATCAATTCGAAAGTCTATCTTGATCTGCGACATATTGGACGGTCCCCATCTGTATGGCCTCCTCTGCGATGGATTTAGTATGAATTCTTCGGAAGTGTTAACTACCCTATGATAGTAAGGAAACTGTCTGTGATAACTGAAGCCCACAATCCCACTAAGACGAATGAAGACAAATCCGAGCAATTCTATCAAGCTAAGTAACTAAGTATTAAGAGCCACTACTGGTATGTATTTCTGCAACTACAGCAGGTGCGGCGGTCTACGACCAGTTTTCGGCCGCCAAGCAAAAAACGAACAGTTTCGCAACTGAGTTTTCTGGGATTGTAATTTCTTAAATCCGCTTAAATCCGGCGCTTTTGGAGCGAGGTTCGCTAGGTTCTGCCGCAGTAAGCGGTCTGGAGGGCGATGGGAAGCTGGCTCTACAATGGTTGGGGTACGGTGATGGAATTGATTGTAGGATTTCGAGGCTCATTGATCAAAGGCAGGTTTGAACTACTACTATGTAGTTATTTGGTACCTCGTTTCTAGTTGACGGGGAGCTATTCTGCGGCATGTGCCGTGATCGGGGACTTCGATGCGGCACAACACGCAGTCCTTCTGCCAAAATAAAACCACCTCACTTTCTTCTATCTACGGAGTACTCCGTTCGCTAGTCAAACACAACACACAGCCACTACGCCATACATTGATTGACCTTGGGTGAATTCCATGGTTGGACTTTTGCTTAATTGCTACTCCGTACTAGACAGTTACGGGACAACCAATGTGTTTCCTCCCCCACTAGCTAGCTACTTCCACTACACTAGAGCAACACTTCTTCTCCAACCAGTCGGACAAGCCGACCAAATTGATGAAAAAGGGTGTTCGCGTCGATCGGGGGTAGTGTAAGCCCGATGACACTGTGTAGCAAGACATGCGCAAGCACAGAGGTCCCGCCACGGGGTGCAAAAATAAGATTAATCAATGTTGTGTTCCTTAGAACACTTTCAGAGATTAAACTGAAAAGAACAGATACTACACTTGATCTA